CCCCCCCCGTCCCCCCTCTCTCTCCCTCTCTCTCCCCTTCCTCCCTCCCTGAGGCCAGGCTGCTGTGGTTAGTGCTCAGATCTGCAGTCTATAGTCCTGTAAGCTGAGGCAGGGGACTCTGCTCCTTCCCTTGCCCTGTGGTTCTCCACTTGGGTCAGCAGCAGGTCTGAGCTGACAGTACCCACGCCCATTAATGCAACTGCAGCCTTCTGAATCGGGAGTGGGACGCTTTTGCATCTCCTCCTCCAGGTCCATTGGCCAAAGATCCCCTCAAGCACTTGCCATTGGGGAGGAGGTGGTTGGAACACCCACCTCATTCCTCAGGGAATGGTGGAGGAGGGAGGTCTTCAAAAAATGGCAGGCTAGGCCTACCAGTCATGTAAAGGCAGGCACATCTCTCCAGGAAGAGAAGCAGGGGCTGATCCTCACACAAAGAGGTCCCCTTTTGGGACTCTCCCAGCTCAACTTTGAAAAGGAGTCCCTCTGAGTGTCTGGTAAATCCTGGCCTCAGAGGCACCATGTCTAGCGCTGAACAGTCTGGCCCTAGCCCTGGAGAAAGTCACATCAAACCTAAACCAGGCTTAAAGGACAGCAAATAGGCCGGAGCAGGGAGTTGCCTCGCCTGCTAGACCCCTGTGCAGCCGCCTGGTGGGACCTACACGCCCACTCCACCCCATGCCGCCGTCCCAAAGCACTCAGCACAGAACTAGGAATACAAATGCCCAGGCCGTGTGTTACCAATAATGTCAGTACCCAAAGGAGGCGCCCAGATTCCTCCCTGCTTCTTAGGCAGCGGAGGCAGAGCGCGGAATGAGGGGCCAAGGGAAGGTGAATGCAGAGTCGGTGGAGAGGAGAAGCCAAGGATGCGCTTGCCGAGGTCCCGGGTCATGGTTCAGCCGTGTTTGAGAGGTGTGCGACGCTCAGACCGGACAGCACTGGTCACTTGGATGGGACCAGACCTGCTCTTGGCCGGAGGTGCGCAAGGAACGCCAAGAGGATGCTCGAATGAAGCTAGATATCGGGCACAGGGAAGCGAGCTTAGTCTTGTGGGCTGGATTAGGGGCTGGCGCGGGGCTGGAAGAGGGCTCCCTCTATTGGGACGGTCTGGGCGGGGCCGAAGGCGGAACGGGCGTGGCCTGGGCTGGGGGTGGGGCCGAAAAGGGGCGGGAGCCGGGGCGGGAGGGGGCTGGGGTCCGGGCAGGGGGCGTGCGGCGGGCGGGCCTGACGTCTGGGGCGTCCCGCTCCGAGTTCGCTCTCCATCACTTCTGGCAAGTGTCTGCAGAGCGGAGCGCGAAGGTCTCAGCGCTCAGGGCAGCTGCACCATCCGCACCTGCGGCGACCTCCCGCCCCGCACCTGGTGCGGCTCGGTTGCGGCGCCCGCTGTCCTCCAGGGCATGGCGCGCGTGAAGACGGGGTTTCGCAGCTGCAAGGACCGCCTGTGAGTCGGCGAGCAGAGGACCGAGTGGGAGCGCGACCGCGCGCACGATGCTTGTCCGGGCGGAGGCGAAAGCCGCTTGGCGCGCGGTGGCCCTGGCTCTGCTGCTGCTCCCCGCTGTGCCTGCAGCCGCTCCGCCTGGACCCCCGCGCCCGCTGCAGCCGAGCATGTGAGTAGCGCGAGTCGCGAGGCTCGCGGCAGCGACGCTGACCCCGACAGAGCTCGGGGCTTTGTCCCTGGGGCCCCAGAACAATGGGCTCTTTGCCTTAACTAGGAGGGGATGGTCTAGACGTGGGGTTTCGGGTTGGATCTGGGGCCCTCGAGACTGCCACAGAGCCCCTAGCCTCCCGGTTCCCGCCTCTGCAGTGAGGGTCCTGCAGACTTAGGCAGGCGGATGCCGAAGTTTGGAGAGGTGAGGAATCCAAGCCCCTGCGGCGCAGGGTCCAGCTGGGGAACCGGCTTGGAGGCGGCCAAGAGGAAGCAGCCTGGTCCCACTTCCTCCCCAAGCTGGTCTCCTGGGGTCTGGGGGCCTGCGCAGAGGCGGGGGTGCCCAGAGGGGGCTGCCAGAACTGGTTTGTGTGTTAAACACGTGCGCTCTGGGGCCTCAGGAGAAGGAATTTAGTACTAGAATGGGCAGGAAGAGAGGGTCAGGGAGCCAGCGGCGACGGATTTAATTTTGAAAGATGATTCCCCAACAGGCCGGTTAGCGGTCTCTCTTAAACTGCAAAGCGATCCCTCTGTTGGCCTCAAAGGAAAACCGGTGTGAACTGAGCCCAAGTGGATGAGGTGCAGGGATGAGAGGGCCGGCGGCCCCCACCCGGCCCTTCCCTGCAAGATGTAAGGTGGGGCCTTGTAAATTTGGCAAAGCTGCTGGGGCTGCATGGGGAGTGGATGAGGGACCCTTCAGGCCTGAGTTGGGGCTTCCTCTCTGCCAATTAGAGTGTCCTTTCAGCCAGAGAAGGGACTTGCTGCCCCTGTCCAGGGCTGGCACTAGTGGATCCACCATGTACTTGGCCTTGAGGACAGAGCCCTGGCTCCCTGGGAGAATAAGAGGACAAGCTTCCCGCTGGGGCAGGTGCTCTCAGGACTCCCACCCTGGGTCTTGCTTTGGTCCTTGTGGCTGTTACATAGGAGAACTGATCTGAGCTGGGGCCTCTCACCCGTGAATGGAAGCAGCCTGCGGCCCTGGCTGCTGCTCATTTCTCTTAACTGTGAGTTTGCCCAAAAGGAGCTTCAGCCTCAGAACGGAACGATTACTGCAATTAGCATGGTGGGCTAGGGTTGCCAGCCAGCCTGTCCCTTTTCATGGCTGAGAGGAGCAGCAGGCACAGCTTTCCTGGGGTTCTGGGTGGATGGATGCAATCTGGAACATATGGAAACTGTCCGTCGCCCTTTATGGATTCTCCACCCAGCTCTGTCTGCTCCAGCTGATCTCCCTGGGAGTGGAGCCAAGGGCTTGCTGCCTGTGTCCTGCTCACCTGGGCCCAGGAAGTCTTTAGCTGTTGAAAAAGTTGTTGGAACTAGTTGTGAATGGGTGGGAGGAGAGCCTGTCCCTTCCTGCTTGATGCGTTTTCCAGAGCCCACCTTCCCTTCTTCCCGCGGTGGGAGCTGCGTCTCTGGGGCTTGTGCCCCCACCTCCTGGCTCTTGTGTCCCAGTAGGCCCCTGTCCTCAGATTGTCCATTTTGGGTGAGTCTGAGTTCCAGCTTAGTCAAAAGTCCTGCCTGTCTTCCCCAGAAAGAACTGCATCTCTCCGGCGTCTGCACATGGGCTCTAGCTGGCTGGCTAGTGCGGGGGAGTTTCATTTGGCCACACCGGTGGAGATATCTTGCTGGGTTTTGG